ACAAACGGTGTGTCTTATATGTGTCTTATACCATCCCTTTGGCAGGAACATAAACCTAAATTTTAAAACAAACAGTTTCTGTCACATATCCAGCATTGCAGTGGTTTGTTTTAAAATGTAGGGTTATCTTTGTGCCAAGTGGATATTATAAGGGTTGACATGCCTTTTGTGTCAAATGAAATTCTAACGCCTACTCCGAATGATTTTACAATTAAATACCTGTTATTTCAAGGGCCCGGGAAGTTCTGTCGAAATAACCTTAGACCAATTTTTTAATGTTTACTAATTAACTAAGAAACTGCTTAGAATTCTTTACATTTGAAATATAATCAGTAATAATGTAGTAGAAATCACAAGCAATATTGTTGTTAACTGTCTGGAAAACGACAGCTACTCCAAAATTTAAATACTGCATAATAATGCTTAAACTAGCTCTTTCTACCAAAATAAAGTGTATTCTTTGAAAATTGGCAAAGAAATAAAATTCACCAACTAATGAAAATTTTTAAAAAACAGGATTTTCTTTAAAAAAATGTTGCTAATCAAGTTTTGACATATCTAGTAAAAACTGATATTCTAAAAGCATGCAACTGTCAGCGCTAGATAGAAACATATGAAATATTAACGCCTCGAGCAATAAATGAATATTTCAAATGTCAATCACAATTTAATGGGATTAATTAATCCAACAAGCGTATTTGCAGTCTGTCACTGCGTAAATAAGTTTTATAAATCAATGGGAAACAAATTTTGGTAAAACTTATTGTCAATAGCGTTTTTTTTTACATAATGGGAATATATATAAAATGATAGAAACAAAATAGTAAGGAAGCTGCAAAATAAAATCTGTTCAAAATCACGACAAAAATAAAAGCAACTTAGTTTCTTCAAAAGACTGTCACCTTAAAAAAAAAAAATGTGTGATATAGCCAGCCAAAATTTCACGCTAAACGAAAATAGCTCATTTGAAAATTAAAGTTGATTTCTTGCTATTCTCCGCTGTTTGATAGGAAACACCATGAATAAAGAAGCAAACTTTATATCGATTTATAAATTACCTATTAACTAGTAAAAGGCTATTAATATTAAAACTATTTTTCAATATTTTATAAGACTGTAAAACTTACCTAAAAATTTGAAAAAGTTTATAAACAAATGCCATTTTAATAAATATACTGAGTATCTATCCACACCGCTTTCAACAGATTTCGTCTTCTAGCCAAACCCAACAAAAAAATTTATAAGTCTCACGTTCACGTACAAATTTTCTCCCAAGTGCCTTCCAAGATTGCCATTCTATCTTCGTTTGCTGCATGCCAATAAGAAAGAAAGCTGTACTTATAAAATGATTGTAGTGCAGTTGCAACTGAAGCGAAGAAAACTGACATTAAAAGGAAACAGGAAGAAAATTGTTAAATACATTCGCGATTTCGATCTGATCCTGGATATCAGTTTGTTTTCAGCGGCACAAACACATGTAAGCATAATAACAAATTTTTTTTTTTAAAGTTCTGTTTTTTTCTAAGTTTTTGATAAAGCTATTGTAACGTCCACTGTAACATAAAATTTAGATCAGACTGAAAATATTACAAACATTTATAAACATTATTTTATTCATTCAGTTTTATATGAAATATATTTTTATACGTAGCAGTTCTTTTCAATTCCAATGAAAAAAATTCTCTCATAATTTTTCTTTTTCGAAAGCAGTCAAAACAAGATTTACGTCACTAATTATTTATTTATAGACATGATATATCCTTGCAAACCAAGTCAATGAAATCTGTTCAGATTACAAGATCAAAGGTGAAAAAATATAAAGTTGTTCCCATTTCTAGACTCCACTGAAAAGTCAGTTCAATGTGTGTTTCATGTTTATAGTTTGTAATATAAACAAAGTAAAAAAATAACTTCTATGCATTTTTTTTTTAGTTTACTACGTAGTAGAATTCATTGAAATTTAGTAAAGCGGGAACACCGCCTGCCCACAAAATTCGCGAAGTGGTGTATTATACATATATTCCAAATTGTTCCATTATAAAAGTCATCAGTGCGTGCCTAACACGACTCCACATTTCAGAGTCCTGGTTATCCGAGTGGCAGAATCTTAAAATGTACTTTGGTTTAATCTCGAAATAAATGCATGCAGTTCAATCAACTGTGTTCTGACGCATTTCGCGTTTCCTGTTTGCTTAATTAAAAAACTTTTTACGCCCGATATTTCATCGCAACAGTCTCGCTATGTTGCCGATAATAACATCATTCTCATCAGCAAATTCGCTTTAATTTTCTTTTAATTGCATAAAATTAACCTTGTGAAAATGAAGTTGAATGGAACACCGAACACCTACAAGAATGCTTTCTGATCATTACAACAGCGCCGGGTTTACAATGTTGTCATTCCAGCGTTAAGATTTCCGTTTCCTTTTAAACACAGATAAATACCTTCTCGTATGGCTACAGATCCGGCTTAGCCACTGAAGCGAAGAACATTTTTTAAGCGGGATCAGCAACAATGCGCAAAAAAATTGTTAAAATTCTTTAAAAATCATTCATTTAATAAAATTTTGAATTGACGTGATCATTTTTTTGGTACTCGTCTGCTATAATCGAAATATCCTGTGGCGCTGTCACAACTGGAGATAAATCTTTCAATAAGGAATATTTCATTTTTTGCAAATGATATTTTATCTGAGGATTCCAAAAGAATCTCTTTTATAAAAAAAATAACGAATTCAATAATTTGCTAAGATGTCATCCACGTTCTGGTGAGATGAATAAATTTTAATTAACATCCTGTAATTCGAAATCTTATTTTAACCACGCCTGTTAGTAAATATTTATTATCCCTAAAATCCAACACGGACGGTAGAAAAAAAAAAACTAATTAATTACAGACCTCCAGCTTTATAAAAACATAAAAAGAAATGTAAAATTGTATTTTCTTGTGGATGAAAAGGCAACATTTATTTTGCATCGTCAGTTTTGCACTAAATTGGATCATTTCAAAATAAAGAAAATCTATTCCTAAACGCCTACACATTTATTATAACAATGCTGTTATGTAACTTGGTACTTTATTTTTTACTTTAATAACTTAATCATTTGGGGTGTAAAACATCGGCTTTTTCAAACATCCATTTTGTTTGGTTTGGAATACGATAATTACGGAAACTAAGTTTTTATTTATTTTGTTATATCAATGTTTATTTAATATCTGATGGGTTCGCTTTATTAAACAAAAAATTCAACCAATCCAATCTCATTAAAACTGGGGTTTTGTTATTGATTAAAATGTTACAGACAGTAAATATATTACTTGTATATATACAGTATCCAAACTACTCTAATTAAAGTTAAATGCCATTTTATAACAATATTCCAGCATATCGAATAGTTTCCTTTATTACACCTTTTTGACAGTGCTCATTTGTTTGTGATGTTTGTGATTTTGACATAAAATAATTTTGCTCTTTACATACGTAATTAGAACTTTCAAACGCCTGTCTAGTGAATCACCTTATTGTGAATAGTCCTCTAGAAATTTGTACTTTTTCTCAAGTGGTTTAATTAATAAAAAATTTACTAAAGTGACAGAGAATTTTAGGTAAGATACGACTTAATTAACTCTTGTATGTATATAATTTAAGCAGTTAGAAATATTATCACAAAATCTTAAATTCTCGCACAGGGGCATTGCGGTTAAAAGATGTAAGGACATATATTCAGTAAAAAAAAAGAAAAATTTTTGTGACATGATTACACGAAAAAACATTTAACAGATTTAACTAGATATTGAAGAATTTTTGTAAAATAGTTCTGACGTTTAAATTACTCATCATCCTATCGCACGGTTACAACTTTTAAACACAAAAAAATATACATGTAAATTATAGGTATGAAAAAAATGATAATAATGGAGATGTCCGGAAAATAGGTAACATACTTTTGATAAAATGTTTGACAAAAAAGTCTGACAAAAACACAACCAGATCAAATTTATTTTTACTCAGGTTACATTTGTGTTTACAATTTTCTACCTAACGTTAAGGTAATTCCATCATCGATGTTTTTTATAGCGACCGTATTTTTTCGCCGCATATTTAAGAGAGGATAAAAAACAACATAAATTATTGTCAGTTTTGGCGGTTAAATAAATGTATAAAATTATGTGGACGTTTCAATCGTTTCAACAAAAATAAAACTAAAAATTAGTGATGGTTAGTTACAAAGTGTGAAAAAATAATCGATGATATCAACTCATAACTGTTGTTAATGCCCCATTTGACCCTACAGAAGTAGAACATGAGCTAGTCACGATTTTTTTTTATGTAAACTTTAGGTGAAAGCATCTTAACGTGAAATAAACTCTCCCGAATCACTTAAGTTTTGCGATAAGAACTCTCTGCACGGAATAATCTAATACAATTAAGCTAAAAATAGCTCATCCGTAATAACACTAATTTACAGCAGAAATAACAACCTTTAACTTTTCGCGTCTACATGAAAAGGAAAGCGGAGAGAATCGAGCGAGTAATAAATTTTTTAAATCCGACTCTGTCTGCGACGATAAAATAGCCAAATACCTGCCTACTATAAGAAACCGACACAACAAAGACCTGTTCGGTGTCCCGCACATTGAAGAAATAAATTAGTGAGAGCGAGTAGTAACGGCACAACAAAATAAAATCCCTTCGAGTATTGAATGGTGTCAAAAGCGTTACCTTGAAACTTTTCTAATTGGACGTTTCACACAACAATTCTTTGTTGATAATGCGACAGCAGGTATGAAATCCGACCGTGACCGTACATTTTTAGTGATACTTAGCGCAAATCTTCGGCCAGCAGATTGCCAGTTCCACGAAGTTGCGAAATAAAGAAAATTTCCGTCGCGGCGGATGCGACAAGTGTACCGGCACGGTTGCGGTAAATCGTCTTTGGAAAGTGCGGAAAGTGGGCATGATTTCCTAGATTTGATTAAGTTTTAAAGACGTTATTAATGAGAGCATGTTGTAGGGCAAAGCAAAAATCAGTACGGTGATGCGGTGGTTACTTGTGAACCAGTGCGCAACGCCGAGATGGTGACGGGGCCGGAGGCGTGAGGTGAGGGTGCGAGACAACGAGGAAGGAGTAGACAGCCCTCTCATTCAGTCAGCGTTCGGCGTCCATGATGTACGCGCAAGGGGACGACGTTCGCGCACCCATGGGACTAACCACTTAATTAGTGCCGCCGTGGATGTGGATACGTCGCGCGAGCCATAGACCTCCTCCAGAAATCCGATGTGAAAACCCATGGTGATGGTGGTGCTGCTCAAGTTCGGCCGCCCGCTGCGGCTTCTGGTTACGCTCCTGGTGTTCGCCCCGTGCGGCGGCCTCGGAGGCAACTGTCCGTCGCCGTGCACCTGCAAGTGGAAAGGTGGCAAACAAACGGTGGAGTGCATGGAAAGAGGACTCATCACCATTCCCGAGAGCGTCGATCCGGAGACGCAAGTATTGGATTTGTCCGGAAATAATTTGCAGATCCTCCCGCGGGAAACTTTCGTCAGATCGGGTCTACTTAACCTACAGCGTGTGTTCTTAAGACGGTGCCGGATCGGTCAAATTGATGATCTCGCATTCAGAGGACTGACGAACCTAATAGAACTCGACTTATCGCATAATCTACTAACGGCCGTACCTTCGGGGACCTTCCGGGATGTACCTTTCTTGCGCGACCTGGTCCTTTCGCATAATCCGATTCAAAAAATTGACAGCCACGCATTCAAAACGATTCCGGGGCTTATTAAGCTGGATCTATCAAACTGTGAGATTCAAGTAATAGCATCGAAAGCCTTCGAAGGAATTGAAATGTTGGAGTCGCTCAAGCTAAACGGAAACCGGCTTTCCGAATTAAGACTTCGCACCGTAGAGACCCTCAATCGGCTCCACGGTATCGAAATGCACGATAATCCGTGGCACTGCGATTGTCGCTTGAGGGCCGTGAAGGAATGGCTTGTTAACAACAACATCCCGTATACCATCGCGCCCGTCTGCAGCGGAGGTCCCGAAAGAGTCATCGATAAGACTTTTAGCGAACTTCACGTCGACGACTTCGCCTGCAAGCCCGAAATTCTTCCAGTCAACCGCTACATCGAAGCGACTTCCGGCCACAACGCCACGATCCTGTGCCGAGCCAACGCAATCCCGATCGCCAACATCAACTGGTATTGGAACGGCCGTCCGCTCCTGAACAACTCGGCGTTCAGCTCTCACCAAAAAATCTACGTTTACGAAGAGGGCAAACAGGAAAAACGGAGCATCTTGGTGTTAACCAACGTCCAGGAAATTAATTCGAGTGAATTTTATTGTGTGGCGGAGAATCGCGCCGGTAACGCAGAAGCCAACTTTACTCTTCATGTGTCGATGCGCGCTGCAGGAATAACAACTCTCGGCAGCGGTCAAATAGCCGGTTTAAGTGTTGCCCTCGTAATCCTAATAATATTCATACTGTTAGTCATTTTCGTGTTGTTGGTTCGCCTGAGACGGATCCCTTTTTCCGAAAGCAAAACCTCGGGTCAAATTGAGGTCGTTACGGTGGTCAATGGGACCGCCAATGGGAAAGTCTCTACGGTCCCAGCTGACGAGACCTCCACTTTTAACGAACACAATAAACCAACGGAACTAAATTTCTGCAATCCCGTACAGAAACCGCCTAGGATGAATGAGGTTTCTTACACTACGGCGAATTATAACGGTAACGGCAGCGTGATGCCCGCTTCCTGTTTCGTCTCGCCATCATCAGCCTCCGGGAACAATCCTGACCTAATTAACGACACTAAAACGTCGGAAGATTGTTATTCGGTCGAAATGCCAGAAAGACCTGCCAGCGGTGAATACAGTCGCAACGCCGATTCCCTTTATCCGTCGGGTCTGTGGGAGCACGGCGATGCAGACTACACGCGACAGCTGAATTTTTACGACGATAAGACGCCCATCATGGACGGGATGAGTGGAGGTGGGTCCATTGAAGAACTGGCTTTCCGCAACGCTCAAGGATATCCTGCAGATTATGGTCTTCCTATTGCCGAACAGAAGCCTTTGACGGTGGTTTCGACGTCTGCACAGCAAATAAACCTACCGACGAACGCTAAAACATTGAGGGTGTGGCAGAAGGGAGGTGTTCCCGTTTTACCACCGGTGACGGCACTCAAAAGAGCGCTGACTCACAGTAGAAATTCGCCCGACGAGGGGTATCAGGAAGGCTGCGGTACTGACGTTTAAGAGACTGGATTTGCTGTGCGTGTATGTGTCCACCTGTACTTACCAAAGACTGTTTGTTCCTAATTATACCCTCATGTGAGAGGGTCGCAGCATGGACTGTTTGTAAATATATTTTTTTCTTTTAAGTTTTACCACTGTGCTGTGAAGTACACCGGAAGGGGAAAATTTAGATAAGTTTGTATTTCCTTATGTGATAAATAATTGTTTCGTAGCGAAACTTGTTGTAAATATTGTGTATAATAGACATATTGTAGATAATGTTGTTTATGGAGTTATCAATTTCTAGAATAAGTATACACGCTCAAAAGACTGAAAATTTATATTTAATAATTCCCAGATCGATTACGGTTTTTCTGAAATCAACTTAAAAACACCGATTCATTTTGTAACATACGGACAAATAATTCATATATTTTGTCGTTAAACTCCCTGTGTGAAGCTTAACATTATAAAATGATGCTCTATTTAACGTTCCCAGTAACATATAACATCAAATTTCGGGTAAAATAATTGTCAGTGAAACGTTTTTTAAATATATGTAATAAACTAGGGCGAACTGCATGGTCAGTTTTAATTTTATTGAAAAAGTATTTATTTCGATATTGTAAGTTGTTTATTTTTGTATTTATTGTAACTGTATGGAATCATTGTCAGCTGCTAGTGAAAAATTTTTATGTAAAATACATAGACAGTAAATATGTAAAAATGTCTTGTTGTTTGCAACAAAGGTGTAATGTTAAAACAATATATTACAATGTTATACCCTAAATTAACGGTACCTAATATCAATTAACAATAATTCAGTATTCTTAATGTTACCAAGATGTATATAAATGTCAACTAAAAAGGTGCGAAACTTTTGGTAATAAACAACGTAAGAATATTGTTGTTTTAATGTTTCCATTTTCTTAAATTTCGAAACTTATAAAAAACGTGTCCCCCACATATGTAGATAACCATCACTACTTTAGTATATCCCAGCTCCCATTTTTCGTTTAAACTTCAAAAACAAAATTCATTAATGCCTTAAATAGGGGGGCAGAACATAAAACCTGTGCCTCACTTTTGAAATATAATACAAAATTGAATTCAGATGCATATCACCTTGTTATCTTTCATCACAATCATTAAATACTATTAATACACACGATCTTATGGCTAGACAATTCCATTACGTATGATTTATTTTTATAGAACCCCGATTTATTCGAACACTTCACAAAATGAGCAAAAATTGCTTGTGCATTTCTGCCACCTCCCTAAAATTTTGTGATTAAATGACTTGGTTGGTATTTATATTTAAACATCTAATTACATTTAACTAATGAAATTAAATTAAAATAATTATCTGATTAAAAAGTATAAAAATAATGTTGATTAAAACTTTCTGGAGGCGAATTGCCACTAAGCAGTCTTTAATACAAATTTAAAACGAGCAAAGTGAAAAGGTCCTTTTTTAAGATACATTACAATATTGTACATTTTTTGTATTGAATTTGTAATAAAATAAGAAAAACTATAACAAAAATCGTTTTTCTGTGGTAAATATGATGCATTTGCAATTGAATAGAAAAAACTCTACAGAAAATTATTCACACCGTGTGATGCATATACGTTTTTACAAACAATCCGAGAAAATTATCATCTGAAGTGTAAATGTTTTAGCTGTAACAGAATGTAATTAAGTTGGAATCTTATATTTAATGTTCACCAATAACGTTAAAAACGGAAATCTGGAGCTTTTGCAAAAAATTAAAAGCTCTCCCATTTTTTCCGTAATTAAATTTTCCTTTCATTTAACATTTCAAATACATAACAATCTGCCACAACCAGTTTGCTTTATTAACAGTATAAAAATAAATTTTATTTCCGAAAAAAAAAGTATGACAAATCTTCCAAGTTCCGTTAAAATACACTTTACCTACCTGTATTTACTTTCGTTCCAGATGGTTTGCTGGGAACAATAAATCGGATACTACAAGTTTCACTGTCTGCTCTCTTGACAAAAAGTTGTTTTCAATGGTAATTTTGTTTTATTTTTCAGTAAGTCTTTCATAGCATTTAGACTTGGATGATTGTGTTGCGGTTCTACGTATAAATCAACTTTTCGTTTCAATGACATCATAGATATGCTTGATTAAATTTTAATCTACTCATCAAGTACTAAGCGACAAATACAGTGTACAGATTTCTTTACTGATCACAATCGTAAGTGTGGACTGTAGTTTATCTGATATTTTGCTTTGTTGGATCCGAAATGATATGATTTTTAAGACCCTCCTACATTAAAATCATTATCCATTTGTAGGTCACTTCATTGTATTGACTATGCCAAGTGCAATCGATACGCGCTGTGTTAAATAAAACCAATGCTAAATTATTTAAGTTATAAATACTTACATGGTTTAGTCAACTCGCCACTAAGCAATTTCCACCAACAGGAAAACCCGCTAGAGCATGTCAATAGTTGCTGTGCAGGAAAGAAGCTAGCTATTACAAGCAACATTATTCTTCCGTATAAATTTAGATATTGGAACGTCAAACTTCCTGCCGTGGATAATTCCATTTTCGAGTAACTTCGCTCATTAGTTTTATAACCGGTGTCTCTTTTTTGTAATAATAAATCAAGTAACGCCGTTGAACAACATTGTCCTTAGAACAGAATGCCACCGGTGCCGCTTCCTTTTTTTTTGCTTTTGAATAAAACATGTGGTAAAAACTAAAGTTTCTTTACGGCCCGAAAATGAATTGCTTTAATTGTTTTAGTACTAAGTGTACCGTAAATTTGATTTGAAACTTTTGCATAACGAGGGTGTAACAAGCCGTCGTGAGTGGCGCACGTGCTACTTCAGAACTTTCAACGACCTGACCAGCAGTTATGTCACCCTAAACGTGATAATAATGATAAATATGTTTTTCACGCAACTTTGAAATATGCCTTTTTAAGTACACTTGCCACTAAGAACAGTTGTGCGTATTTCACGTGTGTATAACTGGTTGCGTCTTAAAATGAATAGCTGATGATTTAACAGCTTAGTTAAAAGCAATCAACAAAGCAAAAATTTTCACGCAACGTTTTAACACATAAGCTACCACCTCCATTTTAACAGCACCTATGCAACATTTGAGTAAAGTGTGGAATATATTAGACAAAGTTTCAAGAATGAACTTTAACAATTGACGTTTGAACAGGTTGACTTAGTTTTTCGCGATTGGCTTTAAAATTTTGGAAATTAACAGCAGAGTTATTTATTTATTGATATTTATTTTTAATAAAAATCTTCGGATATGTTTACAGCAAGTCATTTAAATATTTATGTAGACACAATTCATTATGAAGGCGTAATTAGCCTGTGAGTCGCAAAATTGGATTGGTTGAATTTCGTCACGTGCTCAATTAATTGCGTGATTAAATTAATGGCGTGATTAAGTGCTTCTATGAAGCGGGTTCTACTTTTATTGTATATATGAATTACAAGGGGACAAATTACATTCTTAATTTTAAATCATTAATATCACAAGGCCTGTTGTTTAATGGCATAAAATCGGAAGAAGTGTGGTCACTTTATCTATTTCAGTAAATATTATCCAGATGGTGCGCAACATCAATAGCATGAGACGCGGAGCACCATCTTATTGAACCCAAATTTGAACATAGGACACATTTGGGTCTTCACAGTTGAGAACAAATGTTGCACTGCGTGTTTTCCCTCTTTGCAAATTTAAAATACGCTAACACGGTATTTAAATGCGCATTTTCTTCTCGACACATCGAATTATACTTGTTTGCTCGCTATTATATATAACACATTCTTCAAGTTAGTGAAATTTGAAAAAATTTACTAAGACGTAAGACTCCAGAAAAAAATCGATAGCGAGTGTTCGAACCCATAACTCACTGGGCGGAAAGCAATAGCTTGCCTACCATCACGATTAGTGCTGAAGTGATATGAAATCTTGTGGCACATCATATGACTTTAGAACTTTTTAGTATGATAAAACGGTATACGGGGACCGGAGTTTAGACACAGCGTAATTTAAAATATAATAAACCAAAACGTGTATAATAACAACTTGCCACGTTTAACGCGAAATTTACATGTGTTTAAATGAAAATGTCCAGATGTGTAGTTAAACACATGTGTACTACAGAAGAAATTACAAACTTTCACATGGTCGTATTTAACAATTTAGGGTTCGGGTTAGAGAAATCTAATTAGGTATTTAATTGATGTATAGGTACTGCAAATTAAATATACATATATTAATGGAAATCTGTAGATATTTTCATGCACTCAGTATGCCGACAACAGTCTCTAAGTTTATTAAGGAACAGTTATTCAAGGATTGTGTGAAGCTTTACTTTGAGTTAGATTCTCTGTGTATATGTAACATTCCCGGAATGGATACGTTTATCTATACCCAATTTAAAACCGATTGAACCCGAAACAATTCCAGAGGTCGTTTTTATGGCTAGAATGGATAAATTTTTAAGCCATGTTATCGGTGGGCAGGTAGCTGAAATTTTCTGTACATTACTTGTCGGGTTATTTCTAGGTTACATCGTCCGAAACAGTTCTAAAGATAACGGTGGCTTGTAAATAGTTCATATAATTCGTTTACCGAACATATAGAGTGGTCACGTGCGTTTCATATGCCTATAGAGTATGTGTTAAAGCTTATAAACAGAAACAAATTCTTACGTGTGTTTCAACTGGTAAGATAATCGACGATTTGGCGGACTCAATAGAAGTATTACATGCTTAATAAAAATTAAAAAATACAATTTTATTCTGATTTATTAAAGTTTTTTTACGATAAAAAAATACTGCATATCGGAGAAACTAAATTCTGAAGCGGAATATGATTCCTCCAGACTTATAACACTATGCAACACTAAAAAATTCACAGAAAGTTCAGATAGTGTTTGAGGTTGGGTATACTCCATATACTAAAGAAAAAAATGTTTTATACTCATATCACATCACTAAACATAGTTAACGGGTGTTTTGTTTTTCTTACTTTTTGAGACACTTGATTGCATTTAATCGTAAAAATATCGCTTTTATGTATCCATCCATGCTTGCAGACTTCTGTTGGTGTCTTCAGAGGGATACTGCGAGATCTGGCTACAATAGGAATGCCAATCGTTCGAAAAAAAAGACCTTTTCTAATGAAAAATGAAGTATTGTTTTATTAATTTTGTATGATTTCAAAAAATTCAATAAACACTGTTCATTGTGATACCTGATGTGATAGGTTGGGTACCTATACTCCATATACTAAAGAAAAAAATGTTTTATACCCATATCACATCATAAAACATATATAACGGGTGTTTTGTTTTTCTTACTTTTTGGGTCACTTGATTGCATTTAATCGTAAAAATATCGCTTTTATGTATCCACCCATGCTTGCAGACTTCTGTTGGTGTCTTCAGAGGGATACTGCGAGATCTGGCTACAATAAGAATGCCAATCGTTCGAAAAAAAAGACCTTTTTCAATGAAAAATGAAGTTTTGTTTTATTAATTTTGTATGATTTCAAAAAATTCAATAAACACTTTTCACTTTGAAACCTGATGTGATACGATTCTTTCAAGCATGATCCTCAATTGAGTTTGAGGTAAGAAATTTTAACTACATACTGTGCATTCTGTGAATTTTATTTTTTTTTAATTTGTTGCATAGTGTAATCAGAGACTCGACTTGCCCATCCCAAAATAAGATAAGAATCTTGAAAAAGACAGATTTGCAGACAAGATCGAATCAACGATTAAAACAAAATACACGAAAAATGAGACGAAAGTGAAGACAAGCCCGACGACACGAGGACACGATGGTACAAGTAAGAGTGAAAGCTTTAGACCTAAATGTAAAAGAC